AAGAAGAAACACCCAGTGCATCATGGGAATCCCCCAGCAGCCTCCACCTGTTGCAGCATAACTAAGGGAGGATTCAGGGTCGCCTGATCCTGGTGGATGTTCTGCACATCCTCCAGTTTCACAACACTGAACACTTATAACTCAAAATTCACTCTTCGATCTGTTTTTCCATCCCAGCCTTTCAGTCTCTGTGTACTTTGTGTCAAAGCCAAACGACAGGAAAGTTTAGTTAAAGGGTTCATATCTGTAAGACTTTCTCGTGCCTCTGGATTATAAAGTAAACAAGTCCGCTTTAGTGGCTCTATTAGTGGATCTAATTAAACCATACAGGCAAAGCTGTGTGAGAGAGGTTGACGCCACTCCCTTCTGTGTACTCATGTCTTTCTCTGTTTTCTCGTATTCCCAGGGAGAAGCTCAGGGTGGGAGGGACCAAGTTAATGGAGCTTCAAGAGGCCTTGGAACACTGTGTTCAAGCTGCAGGTCAATACACGACGTTCCCCACGTAGCACCGTCGTACCAGTGTCAGGAAAGTTGCTCATCAACCAAACTGATTCCTCGACGTGACGGATTCTTAACTTGAACTCAAAGCTGTCGAGTTAAAGGCGCATCTGCTCGAGCTGTACCCGTTTCTGCCTTTGTTCTCCATAAAGTTCACGTTACAGAGATAACGCTGTTTTCCGAAGGTTTGTTTAATGCTGTAACAGCTGGTTTGTATAATCCAGCAAGTACAGATTTCATTATTCTCTAATAGCTTTGCATTTGTGTCCTGTGGTGAAATTTAGTTTATACATTTTTAAATTTATTTTAAAAAAGCATATTATTGTTTAATTTTTACTTGAAATATTTTTTTAATAAAAATAAAATATGTACCATTTGTTATTTAAAGGCCTGCATTTATTTAGGTTTGTTTTTAAATCATTTCTGGTTACCTGACAGCTTCTTACAGAATCTGTTGACGTTGTTTAACTCACATCGATGTCGCTCTCAGTATGAAGCTGGAGCCCGAACATAATTCTTTAATGTACATCAGGACAAAAACCCTTTTATGATAAACCAGCAGGTCAGTGAACAGATTTGAACAGATTTGAACTGTTTTCACCGCGAGGCTCAGGTTACATCCATAAAACACTATTTTTCTTATGAATGCTGAGATTGTTCAGTGCATTTTTTTAGAGCCCATTTTGACATCTAAACTTGTTGTTGGCTAAATTGACAAGTAAATAACATTTTTTATATGCAGTTTGTTTCCTGTTGCTTGGTTTTGAATCACTAAAGAGACGCGTCACGTTTTCTTTACCGAGGTAGCGTTCGCATGTGCAGAGCGCTGCTGTGATCATCAGCCCGAGCGTGGTCATGCGTGTGTGTGAAGGGTGACTAAGGGGATTATATGCCTGCGATGCCAGCAGACAGGCTTAGAATACACCTGCTGGTAGCGTGACACAAGGAGAGGCTGAAGCATCAGACACCATGCAGGGAGAGGTGGAAGATGGTGAAAGGACGGGTAATGAGGACCCCAACTTCCTGTCTCAGCTTAGTCATTTAGAAAAATGTAGAGAGCATTTTAATATACATTTAAACTCGTGTAGCTGTTTAGGGACCTCGCTGTGACCTACAGTGACGTAATTAGAAAATGACTGAAAGAAAAACTTTGTATCAAAGTTATAATTGTAATTTTCAGGTAAGAGTTTAAAATGCCTCACATGTCGATGCTCTCAGCTCTTTAGTCATGATCCCACTTTACAATGCAAGAGCAAAGTGTACAGCCACACATACTTATGCTAGCCCATTTACCCCACACTGTCAGGTACGGCCACACCGGTTACCAGTGACCAAGTTGTGAATTGAGTGCAGGGCAGGGATTAAACCAGCTCCAGCAGGCAGGCAGCGATATGAGGTCACGCAGTCCTCTTTCAACACTTCCACTATCCAGAATGACTGTCGTCATCCCTTCCTGCTGATGTCTGTTAGCCAGCTTAGCATAATCTCCACTAAAAGACACTTGGGAGGGAAAAAAACTGGCTCAGTGTGGTAGTCACTGTGGAAAACTGTGGCAGTGAAAGCTTAGCAGTGAACAGGACGCAGCAATTACTCAGGAGCAGAACTAGAGGAAGAGGAGGTGGCAGCAAAAGTTAGAGCCGAGTCACGACTTAGAAACGATACAATCTGTTATCGAGCGATACTTTGTGTTAATTAGTTGATTAATGTCAGAAATTGCAAACTGATGATTCATCTCAAATCATGACACCACGCCAAAAGAATCTGGTTTAAATGATTTATTAAGAAATGTTACAAATGTGGTCATTTTCTTGCTCTAACAATCCTTCCAGAAGAATCTGCCAATGCCTGACACTTTAAAACCCAAGACGGAAAAAAAAAAAGATTTTTAGTAAACTGCATGTCTACATACATCAATTTCTTAAGTCACAAAAACAAAAACGTAGTTAGCAGAAGCATGGTTTGTGCGTGTGTAGTGTGTGCACGTGAATGCAACTAAATCTGGCACTGGTTAGATTCAATGACTGAAGCTCTCTGCTACTACTACTATTTTTTTTATTTATTTTTAAACTGGTAAATCAGCAGTGTATAAAAAAATATAAAAAAAGGCCATCGTTTAAGATCCAAAAAGCAATCCAGCTGGTTTAAAATGACACAAAAAGCCATGATAGGTGTTTATCTACTCGCACTTTTGAGTAAGGCTTCAAACTACTGACCTTTAAATGTGTGAGCAAAATTACATTTCCCCCAACAGAAATAGTCTTAAATGAAAACATCACCACTCCATACACCTTTTAAATAACCAAAAGTCGAACGCTTCTGTGAAACCTCAAAGGTGACAAACCTTTGAAATGTAAGGAGGAAAAAGAAGCACTAAATGTGTTGGCATGTGACAGAAATGAGGAAGAAACTAAATATATACAGCACAAAAACCATTGTATGCAATATGCAAAGGCGTCATGTTGCTTTGGGCAACAACCCCCCCCCACCCCCCCTACATATAAGTCGATCTTCACTGAAGACCCCTCGCCCAACGTCCCCCCACCCCACACGTATCCGCTCATACACACAGATCATCACGAAACACGATTACGTCACTAAGCCTGTTAGTTTGGGGAAAAATAAAAAAATAGGTGAAGCACTGAAACGCCGATCCCTGCTCTCCCTCCTCCCGGTCTTCCCTCTTCAGTCGGAGAGGGGAGACGGGGCTTTGGCGCAGTCGTACCACTCGTCCGTCTCGGGGTTGTATACCTCCACCGTGTTAAGGAACTCGTTTCCGTCGAAGCCGCCCACGGCGTAGATGGTGTCGCCCAGCATGGCCACGCCTGCGTTGCTGCGAGACGATGTCATGCTGCCCAGCATCTTCCAATCGTTGCGGGCGGGGTCGTACATCTCCACGCAGCGGAGAGCGTGGGTGCCGTCGAAGCCGCCGACAACAAACAGTTTGCCTATCGAGAGCCAGAGACGCCAACGTCAGCGAAGTCTGACCAAGAGCGCTTCAGTCTGAAAGGTTTTCGTATCTGTGGACTCACCTGCGTGAACGGCAACGGCGGCCCCTCTGCGAGCCACATTCATGGAACCTATCAGAGTCCAGGTGTTGTTCTCGGGGTTGTAGCGCTCCACGGTGTTCAGGCAATTCCACGACTCCGCCCCTCCGATCGCGTACATGAAGCCGTCCAACTCGCACACTGCTGCCTGGTGCCTCCCTGAAAGCATATTCGCTCAATGAATACAGCTTTTCGTCTCACCTTAGGCTGCAAAAAAGTCACAAAATCCACTGTGGATACACACTGATGTTGAGGGAGGCACAGTTGGTCCAGGTTTTGGCCACAGGGTCAAAAGCGTCACAGTTCTTCAGACCCTTCTGCCCGCAGGGATCCGACCCTCCCACAACATAGAGTTTGTTGTTCAAGGAGCAGACGCCTTTAAGAGACGATAGCGATGAGTTGAGTCATTGAAGACTTCAGACATTTTTTCTAGACAAAGAAACAATGACATGCATGCACAGTGGACCGACCTGCGTTGCAGCGATTCGTCCTCAGCTCTGGTACTTGAGTCCACTCATCAGTGCGAGGATCGTATTTCTCCCCACAGCTCAGCTCATCAGAATGTCCGTTTGAACCTCCAATCACGTAAAGCTGACCCTGCAACAGGTCATTAGACCCTTTCACACTTCCAATTTTTGCAACATCAAGTGCCAACGAACAGAAATGTAACAAATATATTTGAACAAGAGGAGCAGAGAAATACTTAAACAGGACTAATCCAGTTTGAACAGGTGCAGCTACGCTAAAATCTCACTGTAATCCAGAACAAATAAAGCTGACAAATAAATGCTAAAACTACCATGAGCACAGCCATCTGGAAACGAGCCCTCGGAGTCCGCATGGGTGCGATGAAAGTCCAGCGGTCCTCCTTGGGGTCGTAACACTCGACAGTCCTCAGACACTCCTCTCTGTTGTAGCCGCCTGCAGGAACACAAAGAGGCACCACAGTCAATATAAACTCTAAACATTAATTAGTGCAAAGCCTACATGTCCAGTGAGAACAACGTCTGTCCGTGCTGCACTATAACCTACAAATACACCCCCCCACTGAAAGAGAAAGCAGTAAGGCTAATGGATGATTTGCCAACCTGCTGCGATGAATTTTCCATTCAAGGCTGCGGTGCCCAGGCCGGAGCGAGCATAATGCATGGGTGAGAGCGGTTGCTCTTCGAGCTCTTCTGGCTGGGCCTCGAAGCTGAGGCTCTTCATCAAGCAGGGAGTGGCAGAGGGAGACGTCTGAGGGCTGTTGCGACCGTGCAAGAAGATCACACACAGCACGCCGTCCAGCACAGCCAGACACAAGTAGTTGTTGTCTAGGAGGAAGATGAGGGATGGTTAGGCAACAAAAAGTTTGCATGGAACAAACACCACAACCAAAGGGAAGTTCTTTCTGATTGCACACTTACTTGCGGTCTTCTCAGAGGCGATGTATTTCCACTCTCTCCTGGCGGTCTGCTTTGGGGCGTTTGCTGCTTGGTTGGAGGGAGACAGGCTTCCTGAAGAGCTGCAGCTCATCTGTCGCTGGTCGCTCTCCCGTACAGGTTTCTTCTGCAAGAGTATATTGCAGCTACAGAAACCAAGCTTGCACCACAGGCCCCAACAGTGGCCAACGCCAACCAATTCCATCCCAGCCTACTCTGTGATCCAGCTGCTCTAACGTAGACGTAGCGTGATCTTGCCGGAGCAAGTACCGAAATCTCGCCTCCCCGTATCTGAAGCCAGCTACAGCAGCTACTACAGCAGCGTCAGACCACGGCACAATTTAAAGGAGGCCGATAAAAACCTGAAACGGCAACTGTCCACGCTCAGCTGGCTGAGATTAGCTTAATAAACACAATGCGGTTTTAACATGTGCTCAACAGCACTGCCGGGTCATGTTCTACGTTACATTAGCTCTTACATTGTGGCTAAATTATGGTACAAATGAGCCATATAGACTTTTAGCCAGAAAGGGACCATGTAGTTCTTTGATGCATGGTCAGGCACAAGCTGTATGCCGCACGCTGCCAAGCAAAGTGTGGTAGAGGCGGTGAAGCCAGGCACAAGCTGTTGAGTACCTGCACAAACTGAAGGTGGTCCTCCTCGCCACCAAACACCTCACTGTGCCCCTCAATCACCAGCCCTCCATCCACCAGCTTATGGTCAGGTGAGTAGTACAGCGTTTGCACCTGAAAGACAAACAGGAACAACACACCCATGTGGCTGTCTCCATGGCAACACACTGAGAGCCCCTTATAAGGGGGAGGGGGAAAAAAAAAAAAAAAAAAAGGGGGAGGAGAGGCAGTGCTGTAAAGAGGAGAGGGGGGGGGAGGGACAGAGACCTGGATCTTCTGCTGTTTGAATAGAAAGGCTTCCTTTAAAGACACACATACCACCAGCACCAGAGTGTGTTAGGCGTTCAAGCGCAAGAAGATATCGGCCGAATGTGACAGAGCGTCTCCTTAATTTCCATCTATGAACAGAGTTGGTAAAAAAAAGAAATAATAAAATGCGAAGCTCCATCTGGAAAGATCTTCTGTGAAGAATGAAGAAGAGGAGCTGCGTGTGGCACACTTCCCACATCAGCTGCTTCAAAATTCAGCCTCTAGTTGAAGTCGTTACCGTGACAGCAGCCACAACGGGCAGGCAAATCCAGATGCCTAACAACAGTGCAGGTAAAACAACTTTGCTGGGACATAACAGATTAAATCCACCAGGAGACGCGAGCAGTCAGATGTATTCTGTCGGAGCTGCTGGAGTCACTCAGCTGCCCGTGTTTAGGGCGAATAAAAAATAAAAAAGGCAAAGGATTGATGTGTGTGTGTTTTAGGAAAGTTTAACATGAATTTATGTGCAGGAACGGGGTATTCAACTGCATGTATCGCTTGCAAGGGAGATGATGAACCGTGTGTTCTGATAAATGTGGAAATGGGATTCATGTGCATGTATGCCATGGACAGATGGGGACACAGTGTTGTTTGGCTGCAAAGAGAAGCTGCTGAGGGGCAGTTGTGCTCCTCTCCTCCCTCCCTTTTCTCTGACTCATTACCCTGGTGGCTCAGTCCTGGCTCCTCAGTCTGGTCTCCTGCTGCTGCTAATAAACCTACAGGAGATATAAATCAACGGGGAGGAGCGCCTGTTAGTGCTGCAGCAACAAACGTGCACCTGTTCAGATAGCAAAAAGTGAAAAATCAGAATCAAGGCTCAGACCTTTGAGTGTGTGTGTGTTCATAGGAGGAGAGGAGCACCGTAATACTCAGGTGGGGTTGCATGTAATCCAACCACATACCCAAAAGAGAATATTGGAAAAACAAACAAACCAAAAATATAAAGACAAGAGCAGACAGCAGCTCTTTTGGGCTCACCTCTAATTTGTAGTAGGGTTCAGGGGTACAGAGTTTCTTACTGCAAACACTCCAACAAATCAGAGGGAACAAAAAAAGAACAATGCTGATAGAACAGCATGAAAATGGCATGCCATTTCTACTTCAGCCTCCTAATGACGTCTTAATGTCAAAAACAGGAGGAGTTAAGAGGGAGGGGAAGGGGGGAAGGCAAGAATGCAGATTAGTACGAGAGCTGAGACGGCACGCCCGGATACTGACCTCCTCCATCAGTCGTTCCAGATGGTCACCGTTCTCCCACAGGCTACGCTGCACCCAGTTGAGAACCTTCGAGTAGAGCTTGCCATTGCTGGGCAGTGTGAGGTTGTCTTCTAGCATTACCTCCAACTGTAAACACAGAGCGAGGAGGTGAAACGGGAGGCGTGCACGGCAGAAATGAAGCGAGCACGTTACAGGAAATGAATACCACGACCTGCCTGGGTAGCTGGGAACCTCATCTTACTGAATGATTAGCATTTTGCCATTAGTTTGTTTAAAATGCCAATTTCAGCTCTGCTCTCAGCATAATGCAATCCTACAATAAAGGAAATCACCTGCAGGTTTATATTCCAACCTTACAAAAGTGGAGAGGCTCGTTTTGACTCAACCACGGGGTTAATTCAGTCCAGTATGAACAAAAACGTTAGCCTGCTGTGCTTCACGTCCCCCACACTCAACAGGGTTTGAGTGTAATGATTAAAGGGCGCACACTCATACTGTAAGTATCGTTAATCTTGCGTTAGAGTCAGAAAGGTATAAATGTAAACCTTAATCCTGAGTTATTTCACTAACTGTAGCTACAGAGACATAAGACTTACAATGTATCACTTCATCATTACAGAATAGGGGTGGGGAAAAAATGGATACTATGTAGCATGGTGATATTTTGTTTGCTAATAATGTATCGATACAGGGACAGCAGAAATCGATATTTTGTTACAAAAAGGTTTTTGTGCTCTGACTTCAGAGCATGTTGATCCTTTTTCTGAGCAAGAATCCTGACATTCCTTCACTGTCCAAATGTGTTTAACTTTTTTTATGGCAGCAATAAACATGACAGTTTACTTATTTTAATTTAAGACATGTTTTATTTTAATTAAGTTTAAAAAAATTTATTTAATGCAAAATTATATTTTGTTTTAATTTACTTTCAAATTCTTCAGTTGCTGAAGGGGCTGCATAGTTTTCATAAACTGCATAGTTCAGAATAGCTATAATTGTACCAGATGGTTGATTCAGTTAAGTTGGACTAGACTGTAACACAAACCGTTCAGTTTGTCAACAATCAAACTGAAATGAGAGAAAGACTGAGTGTGAGACTTTGATATTAGATAAAATGAATATTGATAAAGTTTACCTTTATGTACAGAATCTGAATATCACAAAATATTTTTAAAAATTGCAATAATATCGTATCGTGGGATGTATGGTGATTCCCACCTCAAATGCACTTAAATAAACAGTCAATAAATACTTAAATATTTAACTACATGTGTGATCCTTTATGCCAGTACCTTAAGGCGGGGAAGTTTAAGGAAGTCCTCCTGTTCAGACACTTCCAGTAGATGGTCTTGGATGAAGGCATCTACCTGGGACAAAAATCTAGCATCTCCCATGGAGCTGGCGAAGTTTCGAAAGGAGATGGCATTCTGGGAATCCAACTTAGACAGCAGGTAGTCGCCACAAATCTGAAGTGAGCGGAACATATTGGGATTAATAACTGAGGAAATAACCTTTAAGGATGATGGGGGAGAAAATTGTGACGAATGGGGCCGATGAGGAAAAACATACCTGTTTGACTCGCTCCATTTTAAACCTTTTGGCTGCAGAGTAAACTTCCTTGACCAGCTCCTTGTCTGCCTTGAGTCTATCACACAGAAAATGCAAAGTCATTAAGGTTAAGAATCATAAAGAGATGGGCGTAAGGGTCAAAGGTCAGAGTTGCTACTGACTGGGCAGTATAGGCGTAGTTTAGCAAGATCTCCACAGCCTCTGGGTCCAAGTCCTCAAAAGTGACATGAGAGACTCCGTGAGACTCGATGTCACTGTTAAAGATCTCGAACAGGTAGGGACTGCAGCAAGCCAGAACTGCACGGTGGGCCATGAGTTCGTGACCACACACCTGAGCAATAAAGAGAAAGAAGGGTCACTCAATCAGGATCGGGGGGGGGAATGCGTAAAAGATCACTAATAAAGTTAAAATGAAAGCAATTAAGTTTTTTTTACAACATGTATTTAAAGGTTAATCAGTGGAGTAAGTGGTCATTTGTCCTCTAGAGCACACCCTGCTCCACCTCAGCTCATAGAAGTTCACAGAATAACTCTGTGGCTTTTCTGAGAATGTGCAATGGACCATGCATGTTTCTGCAATAAACCATACCTGCAGCCTAACGTCACAGAACTGCCCGTTTTTCCTCAGGGCGTTCATTTTGGCCACGGTAGAGTCCAGGAAACTTTCATCCTCAAAGATCAAATAACCGTTTTGAATCATCTTGGAAAAATTTTGACAAATTATCTAAAGAAAAAAGAAAAGAGAACAAAAAAAAAAATATGCATTTAGTCAAGCACTAATGAATATCTTCTGCAGTGTGAGACATGCTTTCAGGTGCAGGATCGTAAACGCTGGCTTATTTCATTGACGACTACACGGGATTAGGATTAGGCGTCTGCAACGTGCACTGTCAATTATAATCCTTGCATTAGTGGTTGTCTTACCTAATAGAGAATAATTCAAATCCAGGGAAGCACCACTGCTGAGAGCAGAACAGGAAACAAACGTAGGCACCAGGCAAAGCAGACTAAGATCGCTGTGAGAACTAAGTCTTCTTCACCCAGGGAGAGGGATGGGAAGTTGTCAGAAGAAATGCCAGCTGACCACTGAGCAGAATGGAGAGGGGAAGCAGCCACAAGGACAAACTATCAGGCTTGAAGCGACTGCAATCGAGTCCTTGGTATCCCGTTGGCTATAGAGTAGTACTTATTCTGTGTTTGTTGCACATTATAACCTGCATGGGGGGAAAAAAAGGAGAAGGAAAACAGGGAGTTATGTTCTTGCTTAGTTTTTAAATGGATACTGCATGTTCTTGGCATTCAGGCAATGTGAGCATGAGTCAGTTCCACGTGGTAAGAAAGTGAGCGCTGCAGTCCCTTCTCTTTGGAAACAAACAACCACGTAGCAGAGCTCAGTTTTCCTCAATAGTCACAAGACTGCTTACAAAATTCAATAAAAGATCAATCAGACCAGTCAATCCCATCACGTTTAAGAAACTGTTATGCCAATATCCTGTAAAGCATGGAGCCTGCAGCACTGGTAGCCAAGCACCATATACTCCTCCCTTGCAACACTCCCTTTGGCTCTTTAAATCTCCACACCTGCTGATAAGACCAAGCAAGACCATTTAATCCATCTCATGTCTTCAGCTTCATCTCCCCTTCTCTCCGAGGCAAGGCTCCATCAGCTCTATGTTATATGACAGGCCTACTCGGCTAGCTCCTCCCTATAGGAACCTTTATAATCAGGCACTGACCTATAAGAAAAATGCAGGAGGAAACAACTTGTGACATGTGAAGCTTCATATAATAACAACAATAATAATACATTTTATTTAAAAATAGCGCCCTTCAGAACACCTAAGGACACTGTACAGCAAATACAGCATATACATGTAACCCTAGCGCACAACCCCACCTACAAATCACATCACACCTAGTAAATCTCCAAAAGTTGATTCTGTTCACCTGGACGTAGCGTTTTGTGGGAGAAACGTTTCATCATCATCCAAGTGACTTCTTCAGTCTCAGCTGACTGCAGGTTTCAATCTTATAAACAGTACATTTGCATAACGACTAAAACCAGCCCACTGAAGGAACAATGAGCTGGGAGCTCAGTTCCTTAATCTTAATTATGCAAATTCTCATGACCATTGATCAACAACCACTGACCTAGTAAAGATCCTCCCCCTCAGACATTTCAATCCAATACTAAAAAACAAATTTAGACTTCACCAAAAAGTAAAGCAGAGGGATACCTAAACTGACCCCGAAACACAAGATTATCTCAGTTTAACAAAAAGATTTTCACAGAAGTAAACACAGCTGGTCCAATCCTGTGGCTAACCAACTCACCATTGTACCACCTGCAGACTGAAGCTCAGTAAACATAAATAAATCACATGGGGAGAGAGGACAAGACGGACCACGGCAGGTGCACCAAATGGCAAGGCATTTGGTGCACCCTCAGTTTGTACAAGACTCCAACTTGCATGCAGAATGAACTCATTTAAAAAGGTGTCAACCTAACTAAGTGGTACACATGCAGTGCACCTGTCTCAGTTACTACAAACTCCCACAGCAGATTACTGCAGCCCTACTCTCAAAAAAGACACACACTCTAGGAAGCATTTTGACCGTGTGCCCTTTTCAGACACCCAGCTAAAATACAGCTGTTCTACGTTTGACTTCACTGCTAACCCGATAAAGACACAGCAAAAGACCAGACTGACAATGAGGCAGACAAACAGCATGGTCTTTGTAAGCCGCTGCTGAAATAACAACCATGTTATCCGCTGTCAGATAGTTCAGAGGAAACAAACACATTCTTTCCAAGCCAAGGTCACGTGTGAATGACACATTTGTAATAAAGGAACAAAAAGGAGAGAAAACGATTCATTTGTACTCTGCTTTTTAAAAACATGTTTTCCAGCTAACTTTGAATAAAGTGCATGTTTGTTTTTACTGCAACATTAGAAAAGGATCAATAAAAACAGTATGAATACATGAATCTTAAACTTCTATCCGATATCATTTACAATCACACTCGCAGAGCAAGTACACACATGTACTGCGCCAGATCAACAAAGTCAAAGTACTCAAATCCAGTGACCTACTAAACTCATAACCATACTGTTAGCAGTTTTATAACCAAGTAATGGAAGGAGGATCTATTCTAAGAAGGGATTACTGTGCTTCAGGCTGTATCAAACAGTTTCTTTACCTCCACTGCAACCCACAAAGGGACATGAATAAATTGGGACAATTCAAGTCTGAGGGACAAAATGATCATGATTTAAAAAAATAATAATGATTAAAAATTAATGCATTTCCCTGAAAAAGCATTACACTACTTGTCAGTCACTACTGGCTTTATTTTTCTGCAAGTGCTGGAGTGATGCTACTTGCGTGCAGTATAAAAATTAAAGCCAGAAAGCATCAAGATGTGCCATGTTGCGCAACTGTTTTGTTTTTGGGAAAGAGCTCATTGGCAAATATGTGAACCTGCCAATAATGTGTGCCAAAGCACACACTGAAAAAAGCAAAGCTCGGTGGCACATTCTAGAAAATAGGCTTTTTACAATGCAATGAACAGCACGCACAGCGAGACTGGCACAGAAAGCTATAATTCAGCACGTCTGCGTGTGGACGGAGGGTACGCTGACCTATTTTTGAGTCGTTACGCAACATCTGGCAGAAGACTCCCCGAGAAGGAACAAATGCTGTGAACTCCTCCACAGGCCTGGGTCCTCCACACTGGCATATTGCCTCGTTTCCCTTCCCTTTTTCCCACCAAGCACTTTACGCAAAACTCTGGCAGCCAAAAACCACACCTTCAACTTTCCAGATAGTTCTTTAACAGAGTTTCCACCTTAAACCCAGCTTTCCTGACACAAGGACCTGGTGTATTTGGATCATTTTAAACCACTGACACAGTTTTTCTGGGAACCAGTAATTGTTTATTGTCTCAGGCTTAACAGAATATGTATGAAATTGTTGCCTGTGGCTGTCCTTTGAATCAAAACTTGTATCACATCAGACACTGAGCAAGCAGTAAAATAAGAAGGGGGGGGGTCGGGGCGCATGGTTGATGAGCTTCAAATGCTGTTCTACAGGCAGGCTTGAAAGCCACTAAACAAAGGAGGGAGAACAATAGCCTGGAAGAGAAAGAGTGACACTGTTCACAACTTTGTCACAGAGGACAGCTCTGAATGGATCCTCTCTCCGTTTTTCCATCTGATTAGACAGGCACAAAGAATGCTGGTAGGAAAGCTGAACAATTAATGCTTGTTAGGCAGCCCTCTTGTGGTGAAAAGAGGCACTGCTTAATATTACACCCAGTTTTCACCGTGTGGAAATTTACCGCCTGTAACACGTCGCAAGGGGAATCTAATAAGGGTGAACAACAATAACAAAAACCACTATACACCCAGCTGCCTCTGTAGCTTATTAAAACAGTCCTTCCTACGCTGGAACATGTCTGTAGTTGAAATCCATTCCAATAAGCTACAAGATGAGGAGGCCGTCAAATGCATGTAAGGAGCCAACCAACCCCCTCCCCAAGTCAACTACTGGCCATCTCATTAAAATAACACGTCTGCAAATAAAAGCACTAATGCCTGTGAGCACAACTGATCAGACTGCATATATACGCACACACTCCATTTACCACATACTGGACATACATTAAGGAACCCGTTAAATGTTTATTTTTAGCCCTTTCATTAAATCAGTGTGTTACTAGGGAATTTTCCACGTGACTGTTAGCTTCAGAAACCGATTAACAGCACAGTAGGTCAAATACTACCATGGCGTTAGGCAGCATGCAGCCAATGAATGCCAAATGATCAAGGGTAATCAATAAGCCCCAGTGGCAAAAATGGGGCATCAGTACTGTGGCAAGACTGGTCACAGCCCACACAATGTGGCTAAACTACATGGAGGGTCAGTAAAGGACAGCGTGTCCCACCCTACCATTTCTCGAAGGGTAAATCTTGCAATTTGATTTAAAGTACGTATGTTTGTCTCGTCGCTATTATGCAGTGCCATTCAATAACCCCCTTTCTTCTTCCCTCTAGCGAGAGGAAACCACCACCAGGGCCATGATGTCTGGCGATGATCCAGAAGTCATATAGCCACTCTAAATACAATCCCGCCACCGGAAACTGAGTCAGGAAAGGGACGACCCTCCCCCCCGCCCTAAAGTACCAGATTAGGTTAAATCGATTTTTTTTCTCCAAAGACTACAAAGGCAGATGATACAAATACCTCTGCATTTACGCGACCTAGGCATGGGCATGCAGGTGGAATGAACAGCTAGGAAGTCACGGAGAGATGGATCCGAGGGAAGCGCATGTTAGCCTTTTTTTAAGCTAGCAACCTGCTTCCTAGCTCGGTAACCACGGGGCAGCTACACCAGCAGTAAATTCAGACACTGTGTTTTATTCAGTAATTACATCTAAAATAACAATACTCTTATGTTACCGGTCAGTGTTAGCTTATTGCAGTCATCAGTAACGCTAACCTGAAAGCTGCAGCTGGGGTAAATTGTCCGCGACTCTCCGCTACGAGGGAGCATTGCGCGGCATTTTCAGCAGTTGTCGAACAATTCCGATAAATGCGAAAATTACCATTTATCTTAAGCTCCAAAATACACATCTAACAGCTGTTTTACGGCCGTGCTAGTGCCCAATAACCCATACAACGGCTTCCCCACGCGTTAACACGTCGAAGCCATCAAGCAACATCAGTTCATCTCTGAATCGTTTTTAAGAGAGAGAACAGTCTTACCTGAGGCGTTTGATAACAAATGATATGAGACATATTTAATGCGAATTCAGACTTGGTGGAGTCGAGCTGGAGAAAAGACGCAAAGCGGCTACAGGCACGGCGTGTGGAGCAAACGGTAGGTCTTTTCTTCCTCAGTAAAGGACCGTCAACACACAGTCAAACTTCGACTGTCTCTGTGCCAGAATGGCCGGGCAGCGCTAAAATGAGAACGCGCGCTCCCGAGAACCGCCACTCCGCCCCCCGCGTCACCGAGAGTGGGCGGTCCTTAACGCCCACTCTGAAAATGATGAAATCCAGGTTGTAGCGAAGCGCGGTGGATTATTAGAAACACATTGAGAAAGACGGTTTTATTTATTTTTATTTTATTTATTCGTTATTAATTTATTCATGAAAATTTTTCAGTTTAATATTTCTTTAATAACTAGTCCTAAAAACTCTTTTAAAAAGGCTCATTCCTCGATTATAATTAACTGTTGCGTTTAAGGTGTTTCTAAGCAACTTTTCAGAGTGTGGTTGCTATGGAGATGATGACCTTTGTTAATAAAATTTCCTCAAAATTGAATCACCTTACGGTATATACCACTCCTCGTATGATTATCATGGAAATATGAAAATGTGTTCATTTTATTGATTCGCCTGTGGTTTTTCCTACGTTTATCTAAACCTGTTTCATTCATTCATATCAGCAAAATAGAGAAAGTAGTAAAATATCTACAGTGAAACAAGATTAAATTGGCCTTATAGTGTCCTGTTTGAATAGGATAGTCTTTTATCTTCTCTGTCTTTTGAATGCACCTGCCAAAATGTACTTGCTATTACTCACATACTGATCCTATGAGTCATGACAGCAAGCTCTAACAATTACCACAAGTGATGTCCATTAAAAAGGAACATCCAAACTAAACCGTGGCTGCTACTGTAAGAACGTCATTGTAGAAGAGCCCATTCACCTACTGTGACTGAATGGAGCTTAGTACAAACTCAGTGCGTCAGTAATTAGATTAGAGGATAGGAATCACTTCCATAGCCAAGTGTCAGTCAGTCAGTCAGTCAGTATCTGCACTGTGAGCATGTCTATTTGTCTGCAGCACAAGAGCATGTGTTGGTAACCGCAGCGATAAGAGCCGCAGTCAGAGTTTAGCCATCACATATAAGGTATCAACACAGCATAGTCTATTCATAACAGCTCTTGTGCTGGTATTATTACCACAACACGCGGCACTTCCATCCATGTAGGTTAACATTCCTGACAAGGTGAGATAAGTTATTGCTGGCTAATGTTCAAGAAAATAAATGAGTGAATGACAAAGATGGAGCCTGTATAATATTTGACCTCTGTATGTTTTTGCAGTGATGTGTCTCTGGACTGCAGAGGAAGCTTCTCCACAGACAGCTAAGGAAACCAAGCAATTCCAAAATCAAAGCACCGAGGATCTAACAGAACAACCTGACCTTCATGCATCAGTGCTACATTTCTCCCCGTCACTGTTAAAACACTTGTATGAACATTTAAACATGACAATCAAAGTTAAAGTAGCATAAATGTTTGAATTTCTCCCTAACAAAGAGAGACAGTCAACCATTCACGCCTATGGCCAGTTTTCAGTTTCTCCCACTGAGAACGCTCCAGACAAACACAATCAACTTTTTGGGATTACCTGGATGCATTAAGACACAAGATATGCTCACTGTAAGCTTTCTGTTTGGAAAATCACTTTCATGCCCGTGTGGAATAGGGAATGAAGAGCTCTTGGCAGGCACCACAGTGCCTGGAGCTTCAGACACAGACACAACGATTATAGCTGGAAAGCAGCCAAACAATCCAAACAATCAGTTAGTTTCTTAAGGTGTTTTTAGCAGTCGGCTTGAAAGAAGAGAAATGAGTAGCCAGAGGGATACATTTCCAAAACATCCCCGATATTAAGAAAAACAGCTCAAAACTTTGTATTTCAAATATCCTGTTTTAGCTTAGTTGTGTACAAAAGCTGTAGTCATTTCTGAAGT